AATCGCTTCTCAGCACAGGATCAAGGATTGCCACAGAATGTATTCCTGCATAAGGCTGGGATTCTTAGTAGTTCTTATGCTTAAGGCCACTTCAACAAAGGACCTTTGTGTGTAAATGCATGTACCCCCTGTCTGAAAAAGAATATTCAAAACACTTACCGGCTCATGAATGTGTCAATGTAGATGGATGCCTGGCAACAAATCCCTCTCTGAACTACTAAGACCATAAAGATAAAATCCGATTAGACGCATAGATAGAAATATCACCTAGCAACAATATCGTAAATACAAATGCACCGATGTGAAGCTTCTAGGATGTTTTCTCCTCAGGGTTCATTCATTGAGCATCAACCGATGTTTGTTTTCTGAAGTTCAATCAGTAAACTCAGTGTTGGCGTACAGTTAGCTGTAATGAAGAGAATTTGTGTGAAATCTCCCCTGTTACACACAAAGGCTCTTCCTGGTTCCTCTTTTCAGCAGGGAGACGGGCGACCTGAATGTGCCGTCTATAACAGCTCTCCTTCACAGTCACCAAGGAACATCACAGATCGCAGCTGAAACAAACGCACATTTGTTCTGTTGCTCTGTGACGCGCCACTTCAACAGACAAAACACTTTGTCATATCTGGTTATTGGATCTTATTTTTTTCTCTCTCTCGCTCTTGTTCTGAACAAGCTGTGACTCTACATACGTATGTATCTCTCACAATAACCAGTGACGTCATCCAGGTTTGTTGGTTGCCATAGCGATCACATCTCCTGCCCCTCCTTTTTTAAACAGCTCAGAAGCTCCAAACATCAGACAATGCACATGAAATTTCATTAAAGCACACTTTTCTGCAATGTAAACCACGTTTTTGAAGTTTCCATCTTTATGGTCTTACTTTGTCTTAAAGGGGCAATATCATGTAAAATCAACTTTTTTTGAGTTTTATACAGTATCATGTTATAATGTTATACTGTCATAAAAAACATGCCCAAAGCCTTGCTTTGACTCATTCWTGCATGTTTGAGAAATCCTGCAGCATTTTTAGGAAACCATGCTGAGGAGCAAAACAACAGGTGGAGACCAGAAACGCCTTTCGGGACCATAAAACGCTCCTGAGGCGTGTCTTTAAGCCGAACTTTCTCATGGCAGCCACACCCCCACCCACTCACCCATGACTCCTGCAGGCTCTCAGGTGAAAGTAAAAGTGAAACGTAAACTGTCTGCTGAGCTCTCAACATTAGTTCTCACTCAGTGAAGCTCTTTTCAGATTCAAAATACCTTTGAGGAAATGTATTTTCAGATGCCAAGTAAACTGCGTCATTGCAGCCCCACTCCCCCTCGCGAG